TGGAGGGAGGGTCACTCCTAGCACTGGAGGTAGACTGGATTGCTGCAAGTCCTTATAAAAGGGAGATGGTGATGGAGGTGAGGCATCTGTGACTCTGCAGCCAAGACTAGAGGGGGAATCCCGTGGAGACTGAGTCACGGTCGCTTGGCTCCCTGTGTTGCCATCAACTCCCAGCCCTGGGCCTCAGCAGAGGCGCCTTATCCAGTCTCTCAGGTGAAGGCAGGGCCAACAAACAGGGCTGCAATCCCAGAATGGGAGTGTCCTAACATAAGAAGGATGGCTTCATCGTCCAGTCTATCATCTGTGGGCCTCGCTAAGCTGTTGCTGAGCATCTCCATGGTCTGCCTTACTTATTTATTTGTCAAGTTTATGTGGCCGCCCATCTCACAAGAAAGTGACTCTGGGTGGTCTGCAACAAGACAGTAAAAAAGTTAATATATAAAAGAAAATTATTTTTTTTTTAAAAATATTTAAAGCACAAGGCTGAGAGAGAACAGCAGACATAAATAACAACAGAGCCACCTCAGCATCTTACCGCTCCCTAAGGGCCCCCAGGCCTGATGGCATAACCAGGTTTTGAGGGACTTGAAGAAGTTGATTTCTTTAGTTCTGACCTTTACTTGCCATATAAGGCGTCTCCAGTTTGCGTCAAATCCGCAAACGAAACAATACAAAGAACATGCAAAGTGAGCAACAGAAACCCAATAGCAAGTTCCCAAGTGGGAACAAATATTGCCTTGAAGGCCATGCCAGAGACTCTATGTTGTCCCAGAAAGCTTGGGTCCTTTCATCCTTCCCTATCCGAGGTGAGAATGCAATGCAGTGGAGGTGTCCATTTGCCCCGTAGCCATAATCTCTTGGTGTTCGCAGCCTGGGCGCAGCCTATAAGATGACCAAGTAAAGGTTTTGAACCCAGGGAAATCACAAATTCTGGCTCTTTCATCTTGGCACATTACTGGGCAGACACAGATAGGCCGTTGTATTGAACGAGGTTTATCCAAGACACAGGGTGCAAAGTAAAAGAATAAGCTCCACATTAAACAAATAGGAATAAACCAAGGTGCCTCCATGGGCTGGATAAAGATTTCCCATGGCTATAAAAGGATTAGATACAGCTTCTCTTTTTAACAAGAAAACCCTGGTTGGGCGCTCACCTATGAAATGATCACTTTTCCACAGGGGCTAATTGGGACCTCTCTCATTTTAGAGGGTTAGAGCAGGTCCTGGGCTGAAGTCTAGGACCACACCCTCTCCAGAATACATACATAGGTCAAAATAAAATCCCATCTCAAGCCCTATTTTAGCAACTACCATCCACCATTCTGTGGGGTATCTTCTCCCTTGAAAAGTCACTATCCCCAGTGGGGGTAGTTGAGGAGGACCGAAGACCCAAATTTGGGGCTTCAATTCACTTGCCATTAATCATCCCACTGTGAGAAAAATATATATTTGGGTGAATCTTTGGGTGAAAAAGACAAGTTTTAGAGGCCTCAGATGAATGGGATCGCCTTAATAAGATTGAAACATAAAGGCATATGGAAGCATCCTTGAAGCTGATGTGAACCAGGCCGATTGTAAACTCCTTATCACAAGCATCCCCATAGCAACCTAGGTATCGGCCCTGAGGGAGGATGCCTTTTTCCTGGCATTTGGCACCTTGAAC